AAATTGAAGAAAAGGGGACAGAATAATGAAAATCTTAAGATTTCTTAGTCTGTTACCTGTGGGAGGCTAAGAATGAGAGAGGGCCTTACTGGTGGTGCTATTCATTGAGAATAGAGAATAGAGAAGGAGTCGGTTTTATCATTAGCATTGTATAGGAATCAAGAGGAAGAGATGATAAGCATACCATGGTGACAGAAGGTCGTTTAGTTATAAGCCACCGAAAGCTGAGTTGTATTGAACGAGGGTAACACAAGATAATGATCAAGAGGTCAGGTGGGACTAAAATTTGTGCTCCAGACCTGTCACTTTCAGAGCTGAATTAATAATTTTGTAACAGTGTGTGAGGCAGGTAATAGTTATGCAGCAAAACTTAGGAAATCCATTTTAGAGAGCTTATGCACTATTTAATGAATGGTCAGAACACACATTTCATCATCATGTCTTACATTCTGGTCTGAGGTGTCACTTGTAAGCTCAATCTTGAATTCAATAATCACATTCTCTTTCTCTTTTTTGAACTTTTACATATGTGTCATTGAAATATTCATATAAATAGTTCAATTAAGATGAAAAGGATGTATATGATGCTTATGAAGACAGTGGTCCCAATCCATAAAGACAGATGAAAATACCGAGAAGGTTCGGTGTGGTTACGTAGAAATAGTGAAATGATACATTATGGGATGTAGGTGAAGAAGACATTGCAAAAATAATAACTTTGACTCTGAAGAGAATTGTGTTTTTTTCTTGTTCTTCTTTCTAAGAGAAATAGCAACATCAGTGATGAGAGTTTTTATAAACTTCCTACTAAACATTTTGAATGAGCAACAAGAATGAGAAAATTGAATGTGAGTTCTGATGTGACCAGGGCATATGTTTAAGGTCTTGAGGAGAAAGGCATTATACTATGTTGATTAATCTAGGTGTTCTAGGGTTTGGGCTACTTTTGTCATCTGTCATGTATTAAATATAGACTGCAGAGGTAACTGCCTTCCAGGTTACCCTCTTAAGGGACTTAGTACATGTAGTGTTGCCAAGCAGTAGAAGCTGGCTCATATGGGAGCACTCAGTAATAAAACATACTTCTACATATTCAACACGGATGCCATAGGGAGTGACATAGTCTTTGCACTCATGATATTTCTGTATTGAAATGGAAAGTGGATATCACAGTTTTCTTTTTATGACATGGTCTGTCATTTGGAATTTATCCAGAGATCAGTCAGCCCGGCTTAACTATTTGAGAAATTTCTGAACTGTATTAAGATTTCTTGTGCTGCATATGACTTAGTGATTGATTTATTACTAGTGAATGAAAAAAAATGTTATGATTTCTGTGGACATTTTTAAGTTGTATCATTCAACAGTTTGAACAAGTATTAGTTTCTTCTATGTGCTGTGTGTGTGTGAGGTACCATGAAGTGAAAAAACAAAAATCAGGAACTGGTTCCTGACTTGGGAATGGCCTGCAAGAGACAGCTGATCATGGCATCCCGTGTGCTAGGCTCTTTGAGGCTGGACACAAAGCACCCTGAGATGTCACTGTGGAGGAGGAAACGGACAGCTGCTAGAGCAGCCGTCACCAACTGGTGGTCCATGGGGTCCGAAAGGTTGGCGACCGCTGGCCTAGAGATGATGATAAGGAAATCACAGAAGAAACGTGAGCTCAGTGTGTGTCATGAGAGGCATTTGACATGGTTGTTGAGAAGGAAGGACGGAAAAAGGTGTGACGGAAAATTTTAAAGTACCTGCCCTTTTCAGAGAACATGAATTACTTATATGTGTGAACAGCAAGGTGGTAGCAAAATAAAGGTTTGAAAAGTAAGTGGAATCTTTTAAAGGGTTTTGTGCGTAATAAGAGTTTGTATCTTGAGCTGTCATATTTTATCATATACTTATATCATAAAACTGTTGTTGGCTTTAATGCCTCGTATTTTTATTTTAGTTGTCTAGGTAATTTCCCCCAAAACACTTGTTATATAGCTTCTGGAGGATATTTTCTTATTCACTTGATTTTTAAAAAATGGTTTTAGACTCTTTCCCAAGTATATCTATACTCAAAAGGTGATTTGCCATAAATTAGGATATCTAAATTCATATGCCACAGAGGTCAGATTTCGGTTATTACTGGTTACTGTTTTTCCCCTTTAAAAAGCTGCTGGTAAAAGTGCCTCTTCCTGCATAGCCATTAGAAGATGTGTATAAAGTTCACATATGTGAGAAGTTTTTCAAAAATGATTCCTATACTAATTATTAGGTAACATAGAAGACATGTTGCTTATCTAGAATTAATTTGAAGATAGAAAAGTAATAAGCCATTTGTCTCCCCAGATGAAGACATTTTTATATATTCATTCTGGTCCTTTTAATTAAAAACAGTTGAACTTAATGTTATCCATAGGTTCTGTGACTTTAAGCAAAATAAAGAATAATGAAACCAATTTTTACCATAAGTTAATTGACATAAAAAAGAGTTAAGTTCCTAGGGTATCTCATCAGCGTTACACAGAAACAGCATTGAACGAGATGATGTTATTTGAGGACCTGCAGTACTGCTAAATAGTCATAATTCTCTCATCTTACACACTTCCATAAGATAGCTCACTGGTGTTGATTACACTTGAGGTAGTTCATTATTTTATTTTATTTTTTTGTCATTTGCTAAGTAAAGGCTTCATCAACAAATATATGTGTGTGTGTTTCATACCTATTATGTCACTTAAGTGATATAATGTAAGTTTGTAAGGTATCTAATTAAAATTCACTTTAGAAATAGTAGACGCACTATTTTAAAACATTATTAATCTGTGTAGAAAATAATCCAAAGAAATGCATACTTTACAGAATATTCCAAAGTTTTAAGCAGAAGTTACTATTTAACATTTCTTAGAAGTGATTCACTGAAATGCTTTTGGTGATCCATTTTTTTTATTAGTTACCTCTTTTGACAGCATGTCACAGGAAGTTTTATCTTATTTGTAGATATCTTAAAAGGTTAATGGAAAAACTTACCATAATTCTTTGTATATTGTCATTGGTAGAAATCTATTCTGTTTAAAATGAAGTGAGCATCAGTGAATAACATTAGACATAATTGTTGTTAACCTCTTCTTTAGAAAATAACTTGCCACTTGGCATAAGTGTAGGTGAGCCATGGAGAAGGTCTGTACTTAAAACAGTAGGGTGAACGAATTCTTTTTTCTTTCTTTCTTGCTCTTTGGGAATTTCAAGTTGCAGTTAGCTCAGGCTGTTTGAAATTATTATTTTTGAATATGTTGTGACATTGTTTTAATTGCACGAAGCTGCAGAACTAGCATGATAAATCAACACAATGAATTTTAATGCAAGGCAAATGATATTAAATTGGCTGCAGTAGACAAAGCAGCTGCTATGATTAATTTTTTCATTCTCCACTTACAATATTCTGAGAAGGATGACCTTGACAGTTTCTACTGAATTAGAATTCCAGTGGTATGCACTTTAACAGACTTGAGCTTTGTTGGTTCTTGGGTAATAAAGCTTGGTTCATTTTTAAGGTCATGAAAATTTTGTGTTATAGATTTAATATGTTGGTTTTGACTGCTTTTAAAACATTGCTCATTGATAAATAGTAACTGTAAGGATGACTTAGCTGTGGTGAAGTCTTTCTCTGTATAGTTCTAATGCCATGGTTCCAGCAGAAGAGGAAATCTTAAAAGCAGCAGGAAGTGCAGGGCCCCGGGTTGGGTAAAGAGGCGAAGAACGAGGCAGGGATAAGGGGTGTGTACAGAGATGTTCAGGCAAATTTCAGAATGGGGGACCCTGGAGAGCTAGATCAGGTGCTTAGAGGACAGTCTCAGCTTTGGATGGGAAAAGTTGTATCAAAATCTGAGGGAGAGGACTTTCTTCCAGCAATCCTCATGCACCACCCATCTTTCGTTTGTGAGTCTCCGAAACTGTACTGCTGGTCAGCAGCTTAGTGAGACAGTCAGAGCCATGGAGGCACAGAAGACTGGAGAAGTGCTGCCCTAGCTTAAGCCTTGAGAGTAGTGAATTCTAGCTTCTGACTTTTACGGAATAACATGCTAGCAGTGGCTCATGTGCATGGAAAAAATAGGAAGCTGTATGCATGAGAATCATTACTTTTGGATTTTTGTGGAAGTGATAGTATTTTATCTCATGTGAGTGAGGAAATTTACTTTTCAGTGTTCAGAGTTAATCTATGTCTTGCTCCCCACCTCCCCTTGAAAGATAAACTTCTCTATATGAAGGCTAAAAGTTTCTGTTGAGGGATGCTAATTCTTTATTTATGCAATTGTTTTTATCACTCCCCTGTTCACAAAAAGAGTTAAGCCTCCTTGCAAAAATAGTATAAGTTAAAGGTAGAAATGAGGGGGGAAATAAGCGTACAGGCATAAAACTTGTAAGGAATGTGATGAAAAAGCATTTACTTTCAAGACTTAAATGTTTAGTTTAGTACAGGGTGGAATCCACATTTGGCCACCAGAGTAGAGTTCTGACAGGCAGCCCAAAAGTATGGTCTCTGAACAGTTGCTTAAGAGAAAGTATAGCTTGTTAGATAAGTAATAGGAATTTCACCCAAGGATTTTAGTTAAAAACAGCAATAAATATTATTTAACATTAAGAACAGTTCCCTGAACACCATCATTAAAGAGTTTTGTAAAAGACATTCGCATTTTTATATGGTATCTTAAGATTTTGTTATATGCTTTGGTTTAGATTACATGTTAATGGACAGTTCAGTATTGTACCTTTTTCAGGCAGATGTTCTTAATTTATAATTTGTACTAATACATATGAAAATTTCATGCTAAACAATGAGTTATTATAACACCCCTCCCCCAAACTTGGCAAGACATTTATAAGGACTCTTAATTTTATTTCAACTTATTATTAAAAAGTATTTCATTTGAGCAAGTGAATATATATTTTAAAATAATTTTAATAGCTATAAATTCAAGCAAGAGAATAATATATGCTGACTTTTTTTCCCCCCCCAGTTTAATTTTGTTGGGAGAATCCTTGGACCTAGAGGACTTACAGCTAAACAGCTTGAAGCAGAAACGGGATGTAAAATTATGGTCCGGGGAAAAGGCTCAATGAGGGATAAGAAGAAGGTAAGTTTTTAAAAATGGAGGCAAGTCTTTCTATGAATAATTTGATTAAACTTTTGCATTCTAATAAAATATTCAGGTCTTTTGTGTATAAAGCACATACACATTATTTCATGTCAGAAGCATGAACATTTTAAAGGTGAAGTCATGATTTTGCCCTGCTAATTATCATTTTTCATTTAGCCAACTATATTAACACTCAGTACATCTTTTTAACTTTGGTCTTTATAATCGAGGAACTTCCAGTTTGGGAATTAGCCAAACTATAATGTGTATATAAAAGTATGTAACTAAAAGTTTGGGAAATCTAAAATGTTTGAGATTTGTATGAGAACAGTCACATAAATAAGTTTGCATGTATGTCAAATCATTTGGAGAGTTAGTCAACAGAAAAGGAAGGCTTTTAATTAGCCTCAGTTTGGTTTCATCAACATTCTGTGTTGATCACAAGTTTTCTAGACATTTTACTTTAAAGTATATTGTTTCTGGTTTTCATTTTTCTTGCTACCTCTTGTTTTTCTATTTAAATTAATAAAGGTCTAACTATATACTTTAAATATTGTTTTTAGAAGGTTTTATTTGCCTATTTTCCTTTTGTCGAGTAAATACTTTTGACTTTCTATTTGTGTAAAAAATGTTTGACTTCCTTTTTTTTTTTTTTTTTTTTTTTTTTTTTTTTTTTTTTTTTTTTTTTTAGTAACTACATTTCATTGACAATTGATTAAACTTATTGTTAGGAAGGGTTGTTGTTTTAATTTTTTAAACACATTGCCTTGAGAGGGCTAGCAAATGATAGCATATGCTTCAGTCATGTTGCAGCATGTACATTGAACTGCTTTGTGGAGCTCATGGAACCAACAGCAGACCTGAAAGGTATTCCCACTGGATGCTGATGGGCTGCTTTTCTGAGCTTCCCACCTCCTTGTGTAAGCTCTCTCATTTACCAAATCTCAGGCACTCTTTCTCCCTGTAGATAAAGAGTCGCTAAGAAGTTGAGGGTAAAAAATCCTCACTGATATTATCTTTTAATCTTACCACGTTTTCTTGTCATCTGAGTTTAAATATACTTGGAGGCAAGCTTGTGAGTTCCCCTTCAGCTTATTTAGGTATATTTAAAACATTTTATTAGGATCTTAAATATTAGATTCTAGATTCTGATTCAACTAAGTGACATGCATTTTTGTGTTGCCATCAGTTTTGGTTCCCATGCTTGCACTTACGGTTGCATTGGCATTAAATAGTGCAATTTCATAGCCTGGTCACAAGGAGGAGGAATCTTGACAACCGAGGACAAATGAATCTTCACCAAAAGATTATTGTATCTATTAGTTTAAAAAGCTACTGTTATCAGGCAGTTAACAAAGCATGCTTTTTTCCTCTTCTCAGCGTCTCTTAATTCTGTACAGTGGCCTGCGCTTGTGTCACTGGTGCACGAGGCATTGTGGACAAGAGCTTGCAGGTGTGTAGTGAGACGCCATGAGTCTGTGTGGTTAGGGTGGACTTGCAGCCTGAAGACCACATTCTGCTCTTGGCAGAAGAACAGAATGGTTAGAGAGTGAGTTCTGCAGTCACATTGCTTTGCTGTGCATCTTGGTTCTGTCACTCAGCAGATTAGCTTGTCTCTGCCTGGAATGTAGAGTGGGACCAGTAATGTCACTCATCTCTTCTGGTGGCTGGGAGGGTTCAGTTAGTGCTAAAACACTAGGAACTGTGTTTTAATGTATATTAAGTGATCAGTTAATGTTAATAATGGTTCTTAATAAGTTTAGCCAATACTGTTTGATAGTACACTTTGTGTTTAAACTCATAGGTGCAGTTTTTTAAACTCTGGAAATGAGTCCTGTGACCTTTGAAAGTCCCAGATTCTCATGGCTTTCCTATGCTGTGTGTCTGGTTGTTGGTGTGTCCATATCCTGCCTGTCTATTTTGTTCTTAGCCTCAAGTAGAAGCAGTTTATACATTTTACTTATTTTTGTTTGTAATATTGTCTGCTGAAATTTAAAAGAGCTTACAGAATGAATGTACATGCAAGATAATATAGGACACCAAAAATTGGCTATAGATTGCATTTTTAATTTTATTAAAAGCTACAGGTGAACATACCTTGGGCATATCAAGTTAATTAGAATGGCTTCCATATATATGTTTGATATTAGGGTGTGTGAATTTTGTGAAGAATTTATAGACTTAGAATACTAGGAATGCTTTCTGTAATCTTAATTTAAATGGATTACACATAATAAATTAACTAAATCATCTTGGGTTATGCTGTAATGTTAATAAAGTCAAAATGGAAAGTACTGTTGTTTGTTGGCTGTTTTGAAAAAAGACAATGACAAACAGATGGAGACAAAAAGAGGTATTGATGTAAAGAAGAAGCCTGGTTGAGGTATATTTCTGGTGTTTCTACTTTTTTTCCCCCTGTAGAGTTGTCAATTTATGCCAAGTGAAGAAAGCTAGAGATTAATATCATTTTACTTCTGATGATTGAATAGTTGTTTATTGATCTGAGTCACAAGGAGATGAAATCCTTTACTTGTCTGGTAAACTCAGTGCTTATGGAGCATTGCTCTGTGCTTGATGAATCCCTGCCACGTGGTAGGATCTGGGAAGGAACACATGGTTTATTTAGGTAATACACGAAGGCATAGATGCCCTCCTGCCCCGACTCTCCAGACTCCATAAAAGATTTTGTAAATAGAGAAAACCATAAACCCTATGTGCTTTAATTTTGTTGGGAAGATAGCTGCTGGTTTGCAGCAATGGAGTGAATATGCCACTTCAAACTTTATTCTCTTGGATTGATATTACTTTTAACATTATTGATGGCTACGATAGCATTGATTTTGAATAACACGGAACCTAAGAGCAGGAGCTGCAGGCAGTCAGACTTCATGAGAGGCGGGGAAGCTTGTCTGTGCCAGCCAGCATAGGGCGCTGCTCATCTCCAGTGAGTGGCCTGGGCCTGTCTCCGGTAGTCGGTGGTCAGTAGATGGTAACGGGTCCACAAGTGGAAGCCAGTGCTTATGGATAGTCCTTGTGAATTTAGTATAGTCTGTATCATGAATCATTCTAAGTGCTTTCTTCACATTTAGTTCATCTGAGTTTTACTATTTCCATTATGTAGGTGAGGAAACTGAGGCTCAAGGTGGTTGAGTAATTTGCCATAGGTCAGCTGCCAAAAAGGCAGCAAAGTTTGAACCTAATCTTCTAATTATACACCATCCCTAAGAGTGACATCAGCCTCAGGAATATTAGAAGAACTTGACTACTGAGTACTCTAAACTTTTGCTATGAAGGCAGTGTGGTTGGTTCCTCTAAGCTTTTTGTTCAGTTCCTCAGTGATAATATATTTTGAAATTTTTCTATGCATCATCCTTTTTATTTTCAGAAATTCTCCTTTAGACAGGATTTAATCCCTTGTTTCCTGTTGGGAAACAAATACTCGAACAGATTAGAGATGCTAGAGAAATAATATTGAGGAAAGAATACGGTTGATTTTTTTTATTTTTTATTTTTTGTAGGAGTTTTTTGGTTTGTTTGTTTTTGAAGTTTTTGCAGGGGCCACATGAAGGGCTGTGTGGAAATGTCTCCTGCTAGAAGGAATGGCCTCTCCGAAACACAGAATAGTGTAGCGGATGAAACAGGGAAGTCCTTAAAGGGAAGACTATTGTGTACGTAATTAGATACTTGGTAGATGATAGTGGAGACCAGTTACGGTGTTACAGTGGTAAGTGAAGTACACCTTTGGAAATCTTTAGGAATGGTCTTTGTAGGGAACACTCTTTGGAGACTTTTCTTATCCACATCCATTAGTTTATACACACACAACACCCCCTGTCATTAACAGGAGGAGCTAAGAAGCCACGCCTATGTTTCCCAACAGTGTTGATGGGTGAAATGTGTTCAGTTTGATTAAAGCCAGCTCAGTCAAATGTTGTGTCTTCTGGAAACATCCAGTGAGACTCCGCAATTGTAGTTAGAGCTCTGTGCTTGGAGTGAAGGAATGTGTGCTCAGAGGGTCAGGTGGCCCTTCTGGGGCTGCTGATCACAATGCCGATGGGAGCTGCTGCTTCACCTGTAGTGTCTCATTCAGACCAGCAGCAGCCTCAGAAGATGGTTTTACGCTTCCAGCTATTATCCAGTCCCTTATTTCTGAATGACAACTGCACCAAATTCAAACACATCATGAGACATTCAAACTCTACAAATTGTCCTTATGAGATTATGGGCTTTGAATTTAAAATCAGATACGTCTGATTTTAAAGTTTTAATTCTGTTTTTAACTTTACATTTGTTTCCCAAATATATTTACCCATAGAATCTTTTTTAAGAGATGTTTCTATAACTTCTTGAAAAAACTACATTCTTTTGTGAATATGATTTATAAAATGTTATTAGAGAAGGCATATTTTATAATTGTAAACATAAGTAGACCTTAATATCATTTTACGGGCTATTTTTCATATATGTACATTACACATTTTCTCATTTCTATTTTTATGGTTAATATATATTTTAATACGTGATATTTTTAGGAAAGTTTAAAAGTACAGATGGTCTGAAAAAAATACTAAATTGTACCTGATTCTTTCTCTCTAGATCAGTGGTCCCCAACCTGCTTTTAGCCACGACCCACCTAAGCATCTCTAAAATCCTGATCCTCCCTCCATATAACATATAATTCTTACTCAAAAAGTGAGCTCCTGTTCTTGTGGGGGAAGCCTAAAAGGCCACGAACTTGGTCTAAATAAGCTTCCGAAGAACATGGCATCCATGAAAGAGAAAAAGAAAAGAACAGAACAGTTGAAGTACTGAGGAAGAAATTGATAAAAATATAGTGATATGAAAAAATAGGAAATAGTTTCAAAACATAGAGAACTGAAATGCATAAATGTGTCACAATATATATTTACATACCGTATATGAGACTCCTAGAACCATAAGAAATGCAAAACATTCACTGAGTAACTCATTCTCAAATTGCCCCCTTAAATCACATG